GATGTGTAGACACAGACCACCAGTGACTTGACTATTGGTCTAACGGATGAATCCATGACCAGTCGGTGTCTAACTGTGGCTGCGGTGAGGGTTGGGGTGAGAGTAGAGGTTCCGACCCTTCGGAAGCATAACGTGACCATTGGTTTAGTAGACATACGGATGTATGGGTACAACCGGTCGGTGTTTAACGCTTCCGAAGAGTCCCAAAGACATGACGATTGACTAAAGTGTCCAACGATTCAAACACTTTTGTGAAATATATTTTCATATTTTTATTGTTTCAGAAAATTTTTAAAAAGTAAAAATTATTTATACTTTTTATTACAACATAGAAATACAATTTTCATATAAATTATTCATTTTTCAGATTTTAAACCATATTATGAATGCTAACAACCATTGGTTTGTATAAAACACGAACCGTTTGTTGTCTATTATAATAGTCGTAAACAGTTATGGGAACCGCTTTATTGTCGGCCACTCTATGCACTCTATGGGCGGGTATTGTCAGACAGATATCATCTTTGGTTATCTGCAAAACACATATCCATTATATAACACAATATATTTTGTTAAAACATCAATTGGTTTGCAAAATGATTACACACTTTATCAAAGTATATCACATTTGTATCGCCTTTTGTGGTATCGATTCTCTTGATTTGATTGTCTTTGGGAAGCGATTCCACATCTGCCACATAACCGGAGGGCAGTTCCACATCCATGACCGCCATATTAGTGGCCAATCCATTCAAATAACTGAATTGACACAAACAATATGACTAGTACTTAAGGCACAGAATATAGTGTAATGTGTTTTAACACTAAACTGAGTGCAAACTGAGTGCAAACATTTTGTCAAAACTTTTTATTCAAAGCAAACATATAATGATTGAATAGACGTAATGTTCGCTTCAATGCTTTACTCGTATTTAGTGTTGGTTTGCAATCTATTCGACGATTCCATTGAAAAGTTTGTAAAGTTTTTGTCAAACTTTAGCCCAAAATATGGTTTAGTTTTAGTCCGACATCTGATTTGCCATCGATTGCATCGATTAGTGAAGAGTCAATCGGGAAACCAATGACTGGACAGAGATGTGTTCCGAACCGATAACTGCGACCACCAGTGACTTGACATTTGGTCTAACGGATGAATCCATGACCAGTCGGTGTCTAACCGGGGCTGCGATAAGGGTTAGGGTGCGAGTGATGTGTAGACACAGACCACCAGTGACTTGACATTTGGTCTAACGGATGAATCCATGACCAGTCGGTGTCTAACCGGGGCTGCGGTAAGGGTTGGGTGCGAGCGATGTGTAGACACAGACCACCAGTGACTTGACATTTGGTCTAACGGATGAATCCATGACCAGTCGGTGTCTAACCGGGGCTGCGGTAAGGGTTAGGGTGCGAGTGATGTGTAGACACAGACCACCAGTGACTTGACTATTGGTCTAACGGATGAATCCATGACCAGTCGGTGTCTAACTGTGGCTGCGGTGAGGGTTGGGGTGAGAGTAGAGGTTCCGACCCTTCGGAAGC